GCGATGCGAGGCGTGTGGCAAACCCGAGGGCCTTCTGATGGGCAACCCGATTCGCCGCAACAGGGAGATTTCGCCATGCCTTAGTGTGTACATCAGGGTTCGTCTTTCGGCTTCTGCCCTGCTCTCTGTTGTTTTTGACTCTTCGCCAGCTGTGCCGTTTGTCGCAGGATCATCTGGATCGTCGTACCATCCTGCTCCGTCGTACTCATCCTCATCGAACTCGCCAACGTACGTTAACCCTGTCAGGTTGGCTAAGGACCAGGAGAGGATCATTCCCATGGCAAAGGACCCTGTCCGGTCCCAGCTTGTGTGCGTCAGTGTGCCTCCCTGCTTTATCACAGCATGTGGCCCGCGCTCAGCGCCGAGGGCATCAGCTGCCGAAATTGAGCTTACTGATGCAGGTGACCACAGCGAGACCATGATGATCGCACAGGAGCGCGAGCAAGGAGATTTGGCCAAGATGATGGCGGCGCCGATCGATAGGAGCGGTGCGAAGGCAATTCAGATTACCGTAAAGCACGTAAAACCTCGCCACGAAAAGAATTTTACCAGACTCTCGCCCAAGGGGCACGGGACTGGCGCGCACTGGCACTAACACAGGTACGCCACGATAAGAGCTTACGCCAGGAGGAGGAACGTCGAGCACTTGTTGTATGTACGGTATGACGACAGGAGAAAAGACGAGCACTTGTTGTGTGTTGTGGGGTGTGGGGTGTGCGGTGTGTTTTATTCAGCGATGTCAGGTCGCCAACTGCACTCCAAGTGCTCCAAGTCCGCAAGTGCTCCAGGTCGCAGGGTCGTGCGAAAACCAATTGACAAAAACTCCCTCTTACAACACTGGGCACGGGTCTGGCGCGCACGGGCACGAAATAAATGAGAAAAGAGCACCAGGAACAGGAGAGCAAGTGCAGCTAACCTGGTGCCGGCCAGTGCCAGAGACGGGGGTGTGATGTGGGGGACGCGGGCCCGTGGGGGCCTGGGGGCGGGGGTGAGGTGTGCGGACGCCTGCGGGCCTGCGCCCTGCGGAGATTCGTGAAAAAGCGCGTGACGGACCAGCTGCAGCTCCACAGGCACCCAGGCCCACAGCGCTCTCATAACCACATTATAGCGCAGCTCACGTCAGCACAAGCAGCGCGCGGGGGCCGCTCGCCCTCCGAGCGGGCGCGCACTAATCCCGACCCCCGGTTTTTTCGCTCAGGTTTTCAAACTTGTTCTATCATAGTTAGCTGCTAAGTGAGAGCAAGTGGCACATCGCGTTCTCACCACGGTCGCCGCTCATGGCGCGGCGCGCCTGCGCAACGCGGCCCCGAGAGGGGCCGCCTGGCCACCGCTGCCACTGCGCCGCACGGATTTCACCCCACTTTCGCGACTGTGGCCGTC